TCATTTTTATCCATTCATTAGTTTTTGAGAATTTGGGTTGTTTACAAGATTTACCTATTATGAACTGTGCCACTGTAAACATACGTGTGCATATATATTGCTGAAGTATGATGCTTTTAATTATTTTGAGAAAATAACCAGAAGGGGAATAGCTGGGTCAAGTAGGACCTCTAATCCAAGGTTTTGAGAAATTTCCTCACTTATTTCCACAGTGGTTGCACCAGTCTACACTCCCACCAACAGTGGAGAAGGGTTCTGTTTTTTCTCCATAGCTCCACCAGCATTTGTTGTTGTTGTTGTTGTTTTTTATAATAGCCATTATTTCCAGAGTGAGATGGAATTTCAGCATTGTTCTAATCTGCTTCTTTCAAATGACCAGCAATCAAACAATCCACAGCAATCAAACAAGAGAAAAAAAAGAAAGTAATAAAGACAGGAAAGGATAAGTTAAATTATCATTATTTGCAGATGACATGACACTTTATAAAGAAGACTCCCAAAATTCCACCAAAAAAACTTCTAGATTTAATAACCAAATCAATAGGATAGCTGGATACAAAGTCAATACTCAGAAATTAATAGCATTCCTGTACATAAATAACAAACCCAGAGAAAGAGAAATTGGTGAAGCAGTGCTTTTAACAATAGCATCAAAAAATGAAATAATTAGAAATTAATTTCATGAGGGACATAAAGGCCTTTAAATTAAAAATTATAGTATTCCGAAAGAGGAAATGTAAGAAGGTATCAGAAAATGGAAAGATATCTCTTGCTTATGACAAAGAAGAACCAATGTAATGAATGAAGATAGCTATACTCCCAAAGTTGTTATACAGATTTAATGCAATACCAATCAATATACCATTAGAATACCTCACAGAACTAGAAAAGTTATTTTTAAAAATTCATATGGATTCAGAAGAGACCAAGATATAGCAAAAACAATTTTGAGGAACAAAGGCAAGGCAAGAGGCATCATAATTCTTGACTTGAAACTATATTACAGAATTTCTGGGATAAAAACAGTATGGCATGGGAAAAAAAAAAAAGACCTGAAGATCCATGGAACAGACTAGAAAATGAAGAAAAAAATATTGGATACACTCAGCCACTTTATCTTTGACAAAGAAACAAAACATACTCACTGGAAGAAAAATAGCCTGTAATAAACTGTGCAGGAAAAACTGGCTTTCTACATGCCCAAGACCAAAACTAGACCCATATCTGCCACTGTACACTAAACTTAAATCAAAATAGGTCAAAGATCTAAATATTAGAACAGAAACAATAAATCTGCTAGAAGAGCGAATAGGTAGAATTCTTGAGGACACAGGAGTAGGCAAAAACTTCATGAACAAAACCCAGACAGCATGGGAAATACTACAAAGAATCAACAACTGGGATCTCATCTTATTAAAGAGCTTTTGCCCAACAAAAGAAATCACCAACAAAGTGAAAAGACAAACCATGAATTGAGAAAAAAATTTAAGCAGTGGTTCCTCAGACAAAGGACAAATTATCTAGAGCATATAAAGAGTTGAAAAAAATCAGCCCACCCAAATTAAAATTTCAATAAAAAATGGGCATCTTAGATAAAGAAGTAGAAATAGCAAATAAATTAATTAAAACATGGCTAAAATGGTAATTTGTAAGGAAAAAATGAATACCTTGACAACTACCATAGGAGTTAAGGATGAAGGGAAAGTTTAGTGAGCATGTTGATGTTATGTGGCTGTTACTATAATTACACATTCTTTGGGTTGCAAAATCAGTCTAGAATCAATCGTTCAGTTAGGAGTGAGTCTCTAATATGTTTTTAGTTATTTTCCTATTGACTTAGAAAAGAATGAGAATCAGATTGAGACAATAAAACTCATGGATTTTTTGATTGTCTTCCTGTAAAAGACATGCATTATGCCATATATATATATATGTGTGTGTGTGTGTGTGTGTGTGTGTGTGTGTGTGAGTGTGTGTGTATAGTTTCAATCATTATAATTTTTTAAAACCTCTCAGCATCTTTTGTCTTTTTTTAATTGTCTTTCTGTAAAAGA